AAAAAATAGACGGGGAAACTTAAGGAATAGTACGAGACGAAAGGAACCTGTCTCTTATACACATCTAGATGTGTATAAGAGACAGATACAGACCTGTGTGCAACCTGTGTTTTTTTTTTTTTTTTTTTTTTTTTTTTTTTGTCTGACCTGGGCTTGTCCCCTTTTTTTTTTCTGTTTTGTCTGACCTGGGTTAGTTGGATCGAGTAGTGGGATAGATTGATTGAAGCAGCGCAACTTAGCTGGATAGAGGACGACTCTAACTCGGATAGAGGAATCAGTAGTATACACAAGGGAAACGTAGGGCGATTGGATCGGTGCAGCTTAGCCGACTAGAGAGGGAGGGAATCTGGTTCGAATCACAGCGCAAGAACGGAGGCTGACATGGCGAATAATAACTTTGGGAATGGCGGGTTCGGAAATGGTAATAACAACAACAATGGGAACGGAAACGGGTTCGGGAATGGAGGGGGAGGTAATAGCGGAGGAAGCAACAACGGAAGAACGTCCTATAACTGCGGTAAGTTTGGACACATCGCCCGGGACTGCTGGGCGAAGGGAGGACGTCCAAACGGCGATTCAGAGCCAGAAGGCATGAAGGATTTTTACCGAGACTTCTTGAGACAGAGGGCGGAAGAGGAAGAATAACGGAAGAAGGAGGAGGAGCGCAAGCGGAGGGAAGAGGAAGACCGACGAAGGATGGAGGAAATCACACGAAGCACCAACGAGATGAGGGTGCAAATGGAAGCAGATCTACGACGAAGATGGCAACAGCAACAAGAAGACATGCAAAGGGAAGCTGAAGCATTCAGAGCAAAGATGTCCAGCTCCCTCGCGGTAGTGACGACCCCCAGCCCCCACCGCGGCAAGAACCGAAGTGGACAAAGGGAAAACACCTGCGCTGACGGGAAGCCCTCCAAGGAGGGCTTTCTTCATCGGCGAATCGTCTGGCGCAGCGGATAGACGAAGAAGGGTGTCGCTAGACGAGAGCCACGTTCGAGAGGAGCGCAAGAGGAACCCTACACCAATCCAAGCAGAGACAAGGGAGTGCCAACAGCCGATACGACAAAGACGAGGAGATGTGGTGACGACAAGGAGGAAACCGTCACCAGCCCCAACATCCAGATCGAAGAGAACCACCGAAGGAGGAGACAGGGACACACCGAGGAGAAGCCGTCGAGTCACGCCGGACAGATCCGAATCACCTATCAATCCAGAGAAGAAGATCCCAGCAGGATGCTCGAAGGAGGGAATGGTAGAATACGCTCTATCGGTGCATCGCAGCCTGTCCAGCAAGAAGGTCGACGCAATCAAGAAACTATGTAGAAGAAATGAAGTGAGATACACTAAGAAGAACGAGACCGTAGATGAACTCGTGAGAGTACAAACGAGACTTGCATACGATGGCTTCGAGGAAGCCAAGTCGCCCGACTTTGTACCGGAGACAGATAGGGAAGAGGAGAACGGAGAAACAGATGACGCAGAAGAAAAGGTAGCATCGACTCCAAGGCGAAGTCCGAGGAATGCGAAGTCGAACATGGCGCAATCGGATTCTGAGTCCGATTGACTAGGACAAGCCCGAGAGCCTCAGGAACTCGAGGAAACGCTCGATAACCTGGTGTTTCTGAGAGAAGCTCTAGAGGGGCAGAGCGAAGTGAGGAGGCTGTTAAGATGCGTCGAGCAGATGACAACGGATACATTCTTAAGCTTATGTATTCGGGGGAGGTATCGCTGGATGAACAAGATCGTGGATGTGCTCACGGCGGAGAGTAGCGACGCAAAGCTTGGTGATAGCAGGGTCTACGCACTAGCAAGTCCGTGGTGCAAAAAATTCTACATCGGTGCCACATCACGATCTTTCGGGGTCAGATGGAAAGAGCACACGACATGCGGACGCAAGAAGCGGAGGGGGCAAAAACCGAACCTGTACCGCTGGATGCACAGGTTCGGCGCTTTCAAGTACATTTTGCTCCCAGTGGCAAAGTTGTCTTTCGAAGACGCAAAAAGAACGGAGCCAAGGATAATCAATGCCTTATGCCCGACACTCAATCAAGTGGGAACAAGGAGCGCGAGGGTGGAAAGACGGAGAAGGAAGAGACTCGGAAAGGAGGAGCGAGCAAGGCTGAAAAACAAGGAAAACTACGGCGGGAAAACAACGTCATCATTGATCCTATTCGACATCGATGGTATGGCTCGGTCGTCTCTAGCCCAAGCACTAAGGGAGGGGACGCAAGGGATGCGCATGAAGACCAGAGGAGGCCAGACGTGGACCGATAAGTGGTCTCAACTCCGTTCAAAGTATGGAAGCACGGTCCTACGCCAAGAAGGGACAGTCTTCAAGCTAAGCGAGGCACGCAGCAAGATAGAACCAGGGGGAGAATTCTGGGTGGAGAAGATCATCCAAATATCAGTCGGCGTTGAGAAGAAGAGGAAATTCCTGGCACTCATACTGAAGCAACCAAGGCGGGCAGCCAAGCTCGCAGTACAGTCTGTGGACTATCTGGTTGGATTGTTCAGGACTGCAGGAACATTCTCCATGAATAAGACAAGGAACGCTCTGCGTATCAAGATAGACCGTGCGTTTCGAAAGAAGACCGGGACAAACATTCGTAGTCGTATCACTGTCAAGGTGAAATACGACAGCATAGTCAGTCTGAAGAAAGTCAGGGAAGCACTAGCAACCGTGATTCGGGAGAACAATAGTTTGGGGAGGAGTGAGGCAGATATCCTCATAGCCAGATCGAGGGTAGTCTGGGAGAAGAATAAGACAGTCGGTCAGCTGATACATAACCAAAGAAGCTGCCTGTTGAGGGGGTACGACCAGGTGTGCCGATGTGAGTTTTTTCCAAACACACCGAAGATCAACGAGCACGTTCTATGCAGAGTCTCGGAGTTAAAGGCAACTCCAGGGTTTGTCAAGAACTCTAAGAACGTCCCTGCACCTCACCAAGACAGCTCGAGACAGGCAGACATTACAGAAGGTATTCGAGGAGCAGTAAACACAAGATGGCCAAATTGCAGTATCAACATGGAGAGGTTCAGCTACCTGCAGAAAGCAGAAACGAAGTCAGCAGCAATGACAACCACGGAGGTAAGAGCATGGGCGGCGGAGTTCTCACAACTAGTCTTCGTCCCAGTGGATCGGAAAAACGGGGAGACTCTGTTGTTATGTCCTACGACGTATGTGCACACGTTCAAGATGACCTTTATCCAAGTCTGGAGACGATTCAGCAGGAGGAAGCAGCTGTAGTGAAGCAACTCAAAGTCAAGTTTCGATAACAGAAACTCGAAAGGATCAGAGCGTGGTGCACCGGTGGCAGGTTTGGGATACCGTATGTGATGCCCAAGGACAAAGACTTGTCAAAATGACGTCCAATATCTCCCGCCTGTATGGAACCAACGAGAGTGATGGACAAGAGGGTGGGGAGAGGACTGAGGTACCTACTACTGTTAACCAGTGCGTCCAAGCACTTCAATCTCAACTCAATGACACAACTGCCAATCGCCCTTCAGAAGACAGGGCGGCAATCCCGGAAAGCAGCAGCTACTGAAGTGCATGGCCAGTGCTTCGACGTCAAGGAGATGTTCTCCAGATTGAACCACGGAGCGATTAGAGAAGGGGTGGACTAGCTGATTGGCGAACACGAGGAACGAGGAATCAAGCAGGTGAAGGTGTCGGTTCAGGGAAAAATCTGCAAGTTCGGGAGAGATCGTAAGAAGGAGGAAGGTTTCATTTCGATCTCTCTGGATGTTATGAGGGAGGCGGTCGTCTTCTAGCTGAAGACATCCTTCAGTGTTTGCATGACAGAGGTAAAATCACAAATCTTTGGTATCCCGATGGGGAAACCCGTGAGTCCGATCCTCGCATGCATCACCTGCGCATACGGTGAATACAGGTTTCTGAGATCACTGGGGAAGGACAGATGCTTAGTAGCTGGGATTCGTATGATGGATGACGCTAGCGTTTTCGTGGCCGAAGACCCCAAGTCAAGGGACCCAAGGGGCAAAGCAGCAGACATCCTGGCAAGATTTCAAGACACATACCATGAAGACCTCACCCTGGTCCGAAAGGACGAAGGGCAGAATGTGTGGGATTTCATAGGAGGAATGGTGATGATGTGCACAAACCCAACTCAAGTGCTGTTCTGGACGTCCAGCCGGAATATGACACAGCTCGCAAAGGAGGGAAACTTGAAGGTGCAAGGCGTACAAGATTTCTCGTCGTATACCCCAAAACAAGTCAAGAAGAACGCGGTCTACGGCATGATCAAGAGATGCATAGACCTTGCCACAATGGAGATACTAGCCATTCCGGCTCTATATGCCATCTTCCATGAGACCCTCCTCCGGGAGTACCCCCCGGAGGTTTTCTTGGGGGGCCTGGCCAAGTTGGCCAGGCTAAAGGCCTCGAATGGCCTTCTTGAGGTAGCACGAGTGGCAGCCGCCATGTGGGGAGTTACCCTACAGGACGGTAGCCATAAGCACGGAAGGGGCTGAAGAAAACGACAAATGGAACGGCCATATTCATGCAGATGAGAACAGGACGGATCAGGGATCAGTCAGGCAGTCGGCAACAGCACTCTGAAAACGGGAAAGTGGGATATCTGGCTTATGCCGCGCGAACCCAGTTCAGGACGGGATCAGTCAGGCAAAGTCCAGACAACAACGGTTAGCAACTCAGGGAACAGCGAGAACTTAGCCAGCGGGTGCTGACAACCGGTGGGACGGGACAGCAACAGTAGATAAAAATCTAACTATGGTACTGACGACGGAGATCACGGGCGCGGCTAGCAACAACGAAGCCGGCACACAGCACGCAGATCTGCGGGTGTAAAACAACGGGAAGTAGCGCGGTTTAGTTCAGAACGGATTGGTAGAATCAGAAGTTTTGGGAAATTTTTGTAGACAAAAGGTTTTCGGAAAACATAGACGGGGAAACTTAAGGAATAGTACGAGGGGACAGGAACAAGGGAAATCGGAGAGTGAGTATAACATGCGGACCAGGGCATAGGTTCGCAGTAGGAAGTGGATCTTCCAGAGCCTCCTGATGAGCGTAGGGAGGGCGGCTCTAGCGAAACGCGTAGAGGTACTCCGCCTAGGAGAGGTTTGCTACAAGTTGTTCTTACGATCCTCTCGCATGAGAGCCGGTGCTTATGTTTTTCCGAGGTACTCTCCGGAATTTGGAAGGGAAATCTTTCTTTGCAAGTGTGGATGTGTGGGCTCCTTTTTCGGCTATGGCTCTGCATGTGTAGCGCTTTGCCGCATCTGTTGCTTCCAATCCCGCTAACAGTCTGTGTGGCCGCAGCTGTCTCCTCTCTCTCTCCCTCTCTTGTCCCCTTTGCCAGTGGTGCTTCTTCACACTTGAAAGACCAGTATCATTCCCAGCCCTTTTTTTTTCGTTTTGTTTTTGAAAGGCTATTTGAAAGGCTTTTCCTTTCTTCTTTTTTTTTTAAAGAGAACTGTTTTTATTTATAAGCTGGGAAACGGGCCCAGTGTCCCTCACATTTATGCCGCGGCCATGCGGAGCTGGACAAGGCACTTTCGGCCAAACCCATCCCCAACCGCAGCTTCACACAGCACAGAAGGATCTATAAAAAGGCCAACAAAAACAAAACCATCTCACCCGTCTACCCTAATTGCCAAGCCAACAAAGTTGCACACATGCATGCACATATCCTGTTCCAGTAACCCTAATCTAAATTAAATGTGAAAGTTAACCCTTATCTACCAGTAATCACTCCTGAATTTCACAACAGCACAGAAGGATCCATAAAAAAGCCAACAAAAAACAAAACCATCGTACCGTCTACCCTAAGTCTACGAAGTTGCACACACACACACACATCTCCTGTTCCAATAACGCTAATCTAATGTGAAAGCTAACCCTAATCTGCCAGTAATCAATCCTGAATTACCTAAACATCGGAAGAACGGCTTTATGCCGTAATTTAGTGTGGCACCCTCCACTACGTGACCAAGACGAGGTAATCCGCAGCAGCGAGGAGGCAAGCAGGCAGGGGTCATCGAGAGTGGCAGGACCAATGTGGGCAGTAGCATCAGGCCCGTCATTCCCGTAGGCCCTCAGGCTGCAAATGTTCATTCTACCCAAAGCGTCAACAGATCCCAGATGAGCAACAGCACCGTCAAAACGGCCAATTTTCATTCCACCTGGCAGACCAGCAACTGTTGCCACTCACAGGTAGGTGGTTCCATGTACACAACGATGGAGCATAAAGGGTCACTCACCCTGCTCGGCGGGGGGGGCCAGGTGAGGTACTCCACACAGCAAGTTGTGCCACAGCAGAAAAGGTCAATCCAAAGCAGTCAGAAGATGATAGGTAAAAGCGGATGATAATGAATCTGTTCGTGTTAGGTAATATGTTGATGATGGTCGGTGAGTAATAAGCGAACTATTGAATTTTATTTTATTTATTATTATTATTATTATTATTATTATTTTTTATGAAAATAAAGTGATAGCAAGTAGGCAGTCTATTGGGAATCGGTGTAATTCCCCACCAATAGTTGGAGCGGCCCGGCAGACAAAGCCTCAATCCTGGCGGCTCTCTTACCGTCGCCGGGGTCGAGGCCTTGCAAGAGGGCTTTGAAAAAAAAAAAAAAAAAAAGAATCTAAAGATGATAGGTAACAGGCGATCGATTTGTGATAAGGTGATAGGTATAGGGTAATCCCTTAACGGCAGGCAAGACAAGCTACAGCAGCAATGGCTGCTGTTGAAGAAGTTCCTCCAGTCATATCTCGCATCGACCAGCCACACATGTGCAACAGGCTGCCGGTGGAGCCCAGATCCAACGCTGCTCGTATCACAGAAAGGCAACCATCTTAAAGAAGATGCCGAAATCCTGACTCTCCACCCACAATCCACGTCGCACAGTACAAGCAACAGGGAAAACAAAAAAGGGAAATCCTGCTACAGAAAAAAAAAGGGAAATCCTGCTACTCCGCGTGACACAATTCAGCAACAAAGCAATCGGTGCCGAAAACTCGATCAGAGCACTCGTTCTTTGCACACTTGCTTCTTCATGACACAAGATCGATCTTCTCTCTCCTTCGCACCAACAGTGTACTTACAGGAGAAGCCAAAATTCCCACGATCCCTGGATGATAATGGATGATAATGGATGATAGATAGTAATCCATTAACAACTGTTACCCGCCCTCAATTTACTCGCTCGTAATACACATTCTTTGCAACAGAAGGTCTATCATGCCTTTCCTTCGTGCCAACGATGCCCTGATGGATTATCAAAGTTCCCACGATCAATATGGCACAGCACAACTGGCTGAAAAAAAGCAACCAACACCCTGCCACTCTACACGGCATGAATGCAAAAAAAAAAAAAAAAAAAAAAAAAAAAAAAAAAAAAAAAAAAAAAAAGAATGCAGAAGCAGCACCCAAAGGAGATGGTGACAGTAACGACAAGATGCTAATAATGGATCCCTTCCAGATTAGCAAGCCAGAGGGAACATAGCTGGCGTGACGAAATTTCCCAGCTGGGAGAAGGCCATGACCACGTACCACACCAAACCGTCTTCTGGCAAATCAGCAGCGGTGTCTCCCTCGCGCCAACAATTCCAACGATCAATATGGCCCAGCACAACTGACAGGAAGAGTAGCCGACACCTTGCCACTCCGCACATCATGAATAAAGGACCAGCACCTCGTCATTGCACCCACAATTCGCGGCAAAACTTGATGGAGTTAAAGTCCCTCCACCAACAGCAGCATCCGACCAAGGCTGACGCAGCAGCGATGTATTCATGGAGGCTCCGTATCTGTGACCAAGGCGAATTCCCTGACCTGTTCATAATACTGATATGGGGGGGTGTCGTCAAAGTCCCACCCATACCTGCCAAGCTGGCAAGGAGGAGGGGCCATGAGAGGAACACGATGACGCTATTCGGTCGCAGGGGCGTTACCCTCCCCTCTATATTCCCTGCGTTTGCGATGCTACAAAAGTTTGGAGCCGGTGAAACCACAGCACGATGCTAACGCAGCGGTGCTAGCGCAGCGCTGTGTTTCCCGGCCTTTTGAAACCCAACCAATTCAATTACCTGTCAAATCTGGACAGGACGGCCTTCCAGGTCTTTTTTATTGTCATTATCAGGGTAACTGGCGTTCGGGACGGGCCGAACGCCCGAACCCGAACGCCCGAACGTATGGGAACCCTTGGGGATGCGTTCGGCCGTTCGGGCCGAACGCGGACCCCAAAAAAAAAAAAAACATCAAAAAAATCTAAAAAAAAGATATGTTATGAAGAAAAATAAATTAAACAAGATTTGCCTGAGCATTACATCCAAATTCCTTACCAAATTTGAAATAAAAATAAAATACGAAAAACAAATACTAATAATAAAAATAACAAAAAAAAGAAAAGAAATAAATTTAGTGAGTGCGCGAGCACGTTTTCGGCACTGCCATCTTTGGCGATTTTTGAATTTTTCGTTTTTTTTTGGCATAGCTAAATGCCCTGAAAATTTACAGATGTTTACTTCACATAATGCAAAATCCACTAAAAAGTTAAAAAAAATAATAAAATTGTTTAGACCCCGAACTAAAGTGATAACAAAAAGTAAAAAGTGAAAAAAAACGTGGGCTAGCACGTTTTGACACCGCCATCTTAGGCGATTTTTAAGTATTGTTTGGATGAGCCAAATGACTTGAAAATGTATACGCATGTACCTCACGTCATAGAGAACTCACAAAAAAAACTTCGAAAAAAAAAATATATATTTTTAGGCCCCGAAATAATTTTTGGCGAGGGTCGAACGCCGTAGGGTTCGAACCCCATACGGGACCCCCAACGCCCGTACGTACGGAGGTCTGCCCCGGGACCTCCGTACGTACGGGCTGGTGACCCTGGTCATTATAGTATTACGGGGAACCCTGTAGCAGTCGCAACCATGTGCAACCAGGGAACATGCTGGAGCTGCACCCACCAGCAGCAGCTTGGTGCGATACCTGCTTCGGCAGGTGGGCGATACCGGCCAGGGGTCAGCCGGTAGCATCAGGACCGAGCTCCTTCGATTGGCCAGTCGCTGTGCCTCCCCTCCGGTCCCCTGCCCCTACGAACATCAGCAGTCTCTGCTCAATGCCGCTCGGGGGGACCAACGGCCTATCTCTAGGTGGCGGGCGCCAAGCTTGCCCAGGAAGGCACATGAGGCCACTGGGGATTGAACCCAAGACCTCCTGCCTGAATGCCACTTGCGTGCCTTACCAAGTGAGCTAGGCCGCTGGATAGCTATTTTGTTCTGATGCACCAGTACGTTTCCCAACCATTTTGCAGAAACGCGCCGTGCATGCTGGCGCGTCAGGCAGGATAACGGGGTGCCATTTCGCCCGAAATCCATCCACGCAAAATGGGTTGCATGCAATGCCCGATCTGCCTGGATGGATTTCGGGCAAAACGGCACCCTGGTGCATCCTTCCCAAAGCTGTAGCTCTGCTGGATTATGCCAGCCAGAAAGGCCAAGCCCTTGGGAAACCCCCCTCTGGTTAACATGAGGCTACAGAAGGGATCGGTGTCCGCCTATGAAAAAGGCTTGCTTTGTTAGACAAATCGTGCGCTGTGACGACTTGGATTTCTTACGACAGAGCAAAAGTCCACGTTGGGAAAAAGAGGTTTGACTCCACTGGCGGTATAAATGGTCTGTTGTTTTCTTTTCTTTTTTTTGGCCAGCCAGAACACATAGGGGTACCCAATCCAAGGCATCCCCATGGACTTTCCTCAATACAACTGAC